CATCCCTGCCTGCCCACCCTGAGCCCCCTCCCAGAACATCCCTGGAGCAGCAGTGGATGCAGAACGGCCGGGACTCAGCTCCCACCTCGCTGCCCCTCTCCAGGGCGCTGGCAGCACCAGAGCCGGCAGCTCTGTGCCCACATGAGCTCACCCCTGGCTCCAGGGCTGCAGCCACCCACTGCCACACACATTGCCAGGGCAGGGCACTGCTGCAGCCCCAGCAAGGGGCACGAGAAGGCTGGCAGGGGACTGGCCCTGCAGACCCCCAGCTCTCACATCGCCCTGGACCCTGCGAAATGCCATCAACGACAAAGTGACATGCTCAGGAGACTGTTTAATGTGAAATAGGGTGAGCCTGGGGAAACCTGCGAAGGTGTCCATGCAAACACCTCAGCAGAGTGTGCCTTGCACCTCGGTGAAGTGATTTGACACAGCACTAATTATGCAAATTAATCATCAGTAAATTAGATGCTTGGTTATTTATTTATTTTGCATTCTGTGCCGCAGCCCAGCAGGAGCAGCACCCGGAGAGAGGAGCAGCTCCGCTCCGGCTGGGAAGGAATGTTTGGTAACATGTTGCATGATCTGGCCTCCCCACATTCCTTCTCAGATGAAATTTGGAATTGATTTGCCGGTATCACACCGCTCCCAGCCCTCAATATGTCATGGCAGCTAATGAACCGTGCCACAGACACATTTATAACCCGCTATTAGCTGCTTCCATCGCAAAGAGTTTTTTTTTTTTCCCCTCTTTGCTCTGATGTTCTAAGACTTGCAAAAACAAACCAAGCATCACATACACAGAAAAAAAACCCCAATCACCAGCAACACCAGAATCACCACAGCAAACATGTCCTGAAAGCGAGCAACTTGTGTGACTCCCATCCTCCCTCCTGGACCCAGCTCTCAGGCTGCAGAAAAGGCCCTGGACAATGACCCAAAATCCCCCTGATTTTCCCCAGGCTCCTTCCCAGCCCTGCTCCCTCCAGGGAGAACAGACAGAAAGGAGCTTCCACCCCCAGCTCCCTTCTCACAGCAGCAGCTGGAGCAGGAGGCGATGCTGGGGACAGAACTGGACAGGCCCAGGGACATTCCCTCCGAGCCTCATCCACTCTATCGGGGGAGCAAGAGCTAATTCAATTTACCGGGATCACTAAGGAGGAAATTATTTAATATTCTGCATAGAATTTCATATCTGAGAGCAGGAACGGCCCTGTTCCATCAGAAATCTGTTCCTCCCAAACACTCAGCTTTACTTTTGGGGGCAGTGGGCTGCCAGGACGGGGCAGGGACTGCACTCCCAGAGCCAGGAGAAACAAACAGCAGAGAGCCACGGGTGCTCCCCAAGGGACAGCAGCTCTGCCACAGGGACAGCAGCCTCCCAAGGGGCTCTGTGCCTGCTCCCAGGGAGGATCCTCCCATTGCCATGCACCTGTATCCCACGGGAGCTGCTGCTCCTCCCACATCCCCAGGGACCCTCGGCTGGTGGCCTGGCACTGCCACCCAGTGACCTGGCACTGCCACCCGGTGCCACTTCTGAGCCCCCCAATTGGCTCCTCCATTCAAAGAGGAGCCTGCATTGGGCACACCAGGATCAGAAAGAGCAGAATTTTACCATGGAGAACCTTCCCCTTGGCTGTGGTGCTGCTCACCTGGATCAGCAGCAGGATCTGCAGGAAGATGCCAGCACTGAGTGTTCCCCAGGGTGTGCCACTCCCCAGGGCTGGTGCTGCAGGTCCCTGCGGCTGTCCCAGGGGTGGGCACACCCCCTTGGCACAAAACCAGCATCTCTGTGGTGGAGCAAGAGCCACCAGGGCTGGGCTCCCCCACGGACGTGCCAGCCTTGTGTGGAGACCCAGCTCCAGCCTCTCTGCCCTGGTGATGTCTCTTTCCCCTCACACACACACAGAAGTGATGATAAGCAGCAATAATTTTGCTTCTGTATTTGTGTCACCAAAACTTCCAGCTAATTCCTGTAGCTGCCAGCATGGAGGCACTAATACCTCTGTGAAAGACAAAGCAATTATTTCTAAACATAGCTTGTTCCTTGCATTGTCACCACCCCAGCCACCCAACCCCTGGGCTGCTGTTAGCATTTTCCTCTAACTAGCAGGGGAGGGAAAAAAAGAATGTTTTTCCCCAAAAACACATCCCTGCTCTGCCCAGGTGACAGACACCCCATGCCTGACCCAGACAGAGGCACAGTCGCTGTGCTCCAGTGTCTCAGCTGGATGGAGACACCGTGTCTGCCGCAGGACCCTCTGCAGCTCCAGACCTCGTTATGCTGTGGGTCTGCTCTCCAGGCATTAAAGCGAGCCATAAAATGACAAGAGAGGTGAAATAAGGGATGGGAGCGGCAGGGAGAATGCAAATGGTGGCGCTGGCACAAGCACAGCACCCTCCAAGCGCCCGTCCCCAGTGCTGAGCACCCAGGAGGGGACACAGGCAGTGCGTGGGGGTCCCTGCCCTCCCCCAGGTGCCCTGGGCAGGGCACTGGGGTCCTGCTTTGGCTGCTGCCCATTCCATCCCAGTGACATCCTGCACACCCTGCCCTGCCCAGGCTCCTCCAGCCCCAGCTGCCGCACCTGGGGAAATGTCAGGGATGCTCCGGAGCCACCCCCAGCAGGAGCTGTGCCAGGTGTGTCAC